TGCCAGGGTGCTAATATATGATAAGTAATCAATTATGGACAGAAAAGTTTTTACAATCGAGAATGTACTAGGTTGAATTTGTAAGGCACATTATTAGATAAATTCATATCTGTTAACTTTCTTTCAATCAGAAATCCAAATACTTTATTTCTTTTCTTTCAGGTCATGCTGTCATGCTAATGCTGGGATAGACATAATGTGATATTAGGTTGCTGCATAAGTTCTGTCCGAATTGAATTTTTTGAGTTCGAAATGTCATAACTTCTTTCAGAGTCAACTTTTTTCCAAGATTTTAGTTTCTGTATTTTGTGCAATTCCTTCGCTATCAGATGCATATTGAAACCTGGGAAAATCCTTGTTAAGGAAGAAGCAAGAACTCAAAAACTTTACAGCGTTTTTCTTCAAACCTGTCTTGTTTGACATGGCAATGCTCCCTTATGAGAATTGATAGGCATCTTATCTAACCATGGATAGATAGAGAAATTTTTGTAGCTTATTATACAACGTGAAAGTGGAAAACATGCATTATAAAAGTTTTGAAAATCTTTTTCTAAAAAAGGTCCGGAAATGGCCGCGTCATAATGTCGCGGACAATAATTCTTCGAACGCGGAAATTTTGCTTTAGGTCTTTGTGTGGAGCAACAACAGAACTTTTCCGGACAAGTAAGCATATTATGTCATGGATCTCATCGAGGACAATAATTGGGTAATGGTTCCTTCCAAGAAAAACCCAAGCTTGAACTTGTTCTGCTTTTTTTCAATAATTAATTTTTAATTCTCTTCTTCAATCCAAATTTCCCTCACATGGAAACCTATTCAAGGCATTCCAACAAGGCTGTTCGGATAAAATGGATGCCGTTTGCCATCCTCCATGCATCGGACGTGTGCTTGACAGTGCGTGCACATGACCCCACCTGCACCTCACCGCTGACTTGCATCGCTTTGCAGGCTTGTATCTCGGCCGGCAGTCAATCCACAAGCCTGCAAGTAAGCTCATTCGAAAGAGCGCGACTTTCTGGACACGAAGATATGCAAAAGATTTGGGTATGTGAAAAAGCAGAGATTTGGCGGATGGGGTGACAAAGCGCAGCCTTAGGTTCGTATGCACTTACATCCCCGCGGGGAGGGGAGGGGATCTGAGAGGGGAAGCGTCATATCTCGCTAGCCTATATATCCTTCTTCTTCTTTCTCTGTCTTGGTTTTGAAGGTTCTCATACACTGATACATGCGCATAACGGATGCCAGGTTACTGCCATACAAGATTAGATATTCACTATTTCGCCTGATCCCCAAGGGATCACCTCACATTTTCAAAGTTATTTATCTTTTTGAAAACTCGATGAAAATGTTCTAAAATTGTACTGTGGATATACTACGGCACTGCTAAACATATTTATGATAGAAATGAGTGAAATCTCAAGATATCAAAATCTTCGATGAACCGCTGCTCGCGAGCCAGGGATTATCGAAAAAATCAAAATCTTCAGATTCAATTTCTTCTGTCGAAAACATGCTCACAAGCATCGTAGTATATCTTCAGTACAATTTTGCAGCATTTTCATTCATTTTTCAGGAAGATAAACGACTTTGAAAATGTGAGATGATCCCCTGGGGATCCCCAGGGGATCGGAAGAAATAATGAATATTTAATCTTGTATAGCAGTAACCTGGCATCTATTACGCGCAGGTATAAGGGTATGAGAACCCTCATAAGCACGATAGAGAAGAAATTAGAAAGATATCTAGAGCAGTGAGATATGGCGCTTCCCCTCTCAGATCCCCTCCCCTCCCCGCGGGATGTACGTGCATACGGGCCTTAGAGCTCCGAAATGCATCTATTACAAGAAAATTGACGGTTTTGAAGTTCCAGGATGGAACTGGTGACGAAAGAAGCTTTGCTCAACTTTAGCTGAAAAATCCTTAGCCTACCACTGAAGCTGCGCTTTGTCACCCCATCCGCCAAATCTCTGCTGTTTCACATACCCAAATCTTTTGCACATTATCGTGTCCAGGAAGTAACGCTCTTTCGAATGAGCCTACTTGCAGGCTCGTGGAGTGACTGCCGGCCGAGATACAAGCCTGCAAAGCGGTGCAAGTCAGCGGTAAGGTGCTGGTGGGGTCATGTGCACGCACTGTCAAGCACACGTCCGATGCATGGAGGATGGCAAACGGCATCCATTTTATCCGAACAGCCTTGTAATAATGCCTTGAATAGGTTTCCATGTGAGGGAAATTTGGCTTGAAGAAGGGAATCAAAATTATTTTTTGAAAAAAGGAGAACAAGTTCAAGCTTGGGTTTTTCTTGGAAGGAACCGTTACCCAATTTTTGTCCTCGATGAGCTCTATGACATAATATGCTTACTTGTCCGGAAAAGTTCTGTTGTTGCTCCACGCAAAGACCTAAAGCAAAATTTCCGCGTTCGAAGAATTATTGTCCGCGACATTATGACGCGGCCATTTCCGGACCTTTTTTAGAAAAAGATTTTCTAAACTTTTATAATGCATGTTTTCCAGAAAGCGCAATGTGTGGGTTGTAACTCTTGGTGAGGTCTATCACCATATGCAATCCAATCATTTTTTCATCTTTGTTTTCCATCCGAAATTATGCGATGAAACAAGGAAGGCGGCTTATTCGCAACTTTTTGGCGTTCACTGTAATTCTGGAGTGAGAACGTAACTCGTTCACTTGGAGATTTTAGGCCTGAAATCTCCTTACACTAAGAAATTCATTGAAATTTGAAATGCATTAAAAAGAGCAAGAAAAGCACTTTGTAATGATACTAACAATACCGCATTAGAGATAGGCCCGTAGTAAAGCTAATTCAGTTCAGGTGAATTGAACTGAGGCCCTCATCTAAGATTCGGTAAGGTAGACTGCCTATCACCACCTTCCCATGTAGTAAGAATGCAAAATGAAATTTTAGCTGACCGTCCGTCTACCTGACGAGGTAGTCTACCTTACTTCAGTCAGTCCACATTCAGTTAGACTACCAATTGATTTAAATAGTGCGTCGATGATGATACGCAGAGAACTAGTAAGTTACTCCTGAGTAACTTACGATACACGTCAGTTTAACATGTCGGTGAGGAGCCACAGTGATGCTGACGAGACTTAAGATCTAACAAGTGCGGCCACATCCCCGCCGCTAGTGCCAATGACGTAGATGTGAATGTTTGGCAAACTTCTTGCCTCGTATACTTGCATGGACGTGGCGCTCTCAATCTTATCATCGTGAGTGGTTGGCAACATCAATCAATGGCTCAACTGAAGGCAAGCTGACTCGTCGAAGCCTCAACTGAAACTTTATTCAGCTGAGATCGAATGAAGCAGCTTTACTACGGGCCATAAAATTCTTTTAGAACAGCTGCTTCAAACATGAGGCAAAAAAAATCGGACAGAACTTATGCAGCAACCTAATATTTCTCATATTTGAAGAGTTTGCAAAAGAACGACTTACCGTAAAGTTTTACAGATAAGTCCGCTTTTTTGACAAGAATAATCGATGAAAATGGACTCTCGTATCGCCAAGAATCTTGCAGATAAGTCCTCCCATCAGATAAGTCGCCTACAGATAAGTCCGGATTCAGTTAAGAATTAGTGCGATATTCCGTAGACTTTTTAGTAAAGATTTTATTTTTGCTGAGAACTTTGCTTTCAGCTTTTTTTTCGGTATAAATAGCATGTTAAGAGTCGCGATTTTTATCGCCAGCCGGACATCAAATAGCACATGATTTGTGTTTTTCAACGCTCTAAATGTATTTGAAATTTGTAAAGAGACTAGCTGATGTACCCGGCCTTGCCCGGGATAATATTATTTACCATCTTTGCCGATATGTGTGAAATGCAAGAGCATAACCTATCACTGAGTTCATTTGCAAATCAAAACCTTCAACACAAAGTGCAATTGCTGGTCCTCGCAATTGATGCAATGCTTGTTTAAGGGCTCATATATTACTAAACTTAACCGGTAGTCACCGGTGTAATTGCTTATGCATTATGAAATGATCAGAATTTGACTCTCATTTTTTAGCTTATTTAAACCATCTAAATGCTCCTCAACGCGACAGCAAAGCGGTCATCCTGTTTCGCCCATGTAAGTGTCGCCGCATGGTTGCATGATAAGCATGCAATAAGGTAGATAACTCCGGCTAGCATACAGTCCCACATCTAAACTCCGGCTAGCATACAATCCCACATCTACCATACGGGCATACCATGCAGTTACGAGTAGTACATATGCGGTCATAAGCTCGATCACGGTCCAGTTGGCGTTTGAGATTAGCGGGAGGAATATTGACCACTCTTACCACGTCGTGCAAACCTACTTGATGTACGCCTCGCCGCATTGCCCTGCTCATTCATCAGAAATGAGTGGCAGGCAGGAAGGGTATCTCGTTGTCAGTGCTTACATCATAAGCTCTGCTTCTTGAAGACCCGCGTGCTCCATGATTGTGCTCAGTTTTGGCATAGCCATTGGAAGCAACAATTTTTTGTGCCAAGGCAATGGAGTATGATCGTTCGTCGCTGCCGGAACATACCCGCAGAGCTGTTTTGTATATATTGCCCACAACAGACCGTTTTGTGCTATTTGGATGTGCAGACAAAGGATGTACCGGGATGCTTTTACTGCTGGATTTGCGTTACCAGTCAGTTCTGTAACTCCCGCCTGCAAGATGGATCTGTACTTTCAGAAACGCCAACCACCCCCATTAGGCTTTTCCTTGATGAAAACGATGTTTGGTAACTGCTGATTCAATATAAATAAATAGAAAAAGAATGAAGATGTATTATCAACTTTGGAAGTTCGCTCAGCCAAATCAACTACAAGCATTTTTAATTCAATCCGCCGGGTAGCATTAGCTACGTGCATCAACTCTGCATCAACCACATCTAAATATTTGCGCAGAATGGCTTCTGCTACTACTTTGACCAACTGACCCATGGTAAAAGTAAAGTTTGAAAGTTTATTATAATTCTCCACAATTTATGCAGTCACAAGTTAAAATGCCGTTGAAAGATACTGTAATCCACTTCTAAAAACTGCTGCATGAAGAGCTTCATATTCTGGTATTTTTTCCAAGAGTTCTTCTACGTCATGTAGCTGCATTAAAAATTCAGTCTCCGCGACAGCAGCCTTCCGTTGATTTTCTTCTATAGGATTTCTGGACAATATTGATAAAAACCTACGAACTGTCAACTTTGTTTTGAAAATCGCTCAGCTGAGCTGTTTTTTTTGTTAGGTAGATTCTTACTTTTGCGCTTTATTTTGCAATGCATCCTTATTCAGGCGCTTTCGTCCGAGTAAAGCAAAAGCTTGTTTCATCGACTTCATCTCCACTGCAGCGAATAGCTTGAGTTTTTCTCCAAAATGTTTGTTGAGCTTGAATCAATTATGCTTCACTTTGTCCGTATTTTGCCCTAATGACTTACTTCTTCTGACGTCAGAAGCCGTTTTCTTGGTTCTCCCTAAAAAGTTTGTTTGAACGTTGTAACAGATACACAGCAAACCTCGTCACCAGAAGATTTTCGAGATAAGCACTTGCTTAGAGCGAGCGCTCCTGTATGCATCTAAAAAGGATGTTTATGTTGTTGAAGTCGACAAGTTTGCATACACTCCTTGGAAGAGAACAGCAAAAAGGTAATTTATATAGAACTAGCTGGCTTACCCGGCTCCGCCGTATGTTCCAAATAGAAAATTCCATTTCTTAACCGGTCCGGACCAAACTTGACACACATACACTTCGGGCCCCGGCGGGTGTCACAGTCCACTTTTCTCTATCGATCGATGCCGATTTTATCAATTTTCTGCAAAATTTGAGCTAGGGGGCTGGGATTTGGCACAGGGGGGTAATCGAGCATGCTGATTACGAATACAATATTAGTTTTCGAAACCGTGCATTACTTTTATCGATTTTATCGATTTTTTTTGCAAAATTTGAGCTAGGGGCTGGAATTTGGCAGGGGGGTGTAATCGAGCATGCTGATCACCCCCACGGGAATGATCAGCATGCTCGATTACCCCCCTGTGCCAAATCCCAGCCCCGTAGCTCAAACTTTGCAAAAAATCGATAAAATCGATAAAAGTAATGCACGATTTTGAAAACTAATATTGTATTCGGAATCCCCATGCTCACTTACCCCCCTGTGCCAACTCCCAGCCCCGTAGCTCAAATTTTGCAAAAAATCGATAAAATCGATATCGATCGATACGAAAAGTAGCCTATGACACCCGCCGGGGCCCGAAGTGTATGTGTGCCAAGTTTGGTCCCGATCGGTTCAGAAATGGAATTTTCTATTCGGAACATACGTACACACAGACAGACAGACATACAGACATTCAGCTTTATATATAAGATGCAGACAAACTAAAAGTTGGTGAGACGCAGACTAATTAGAGTGCAACAGTCCTCTCGACGACTGGGCGGTGCCACCAATTTCAGACGAGCTGGCACTCCCCGGGTGCTCGGTGGTCCCCTCCCCAATTAAGTTCCCCCACATTTATGATATAATTAGCTGGCTTACCCGGTTCCGCCGTATGTTCCGAATAGAAAATTCCATTTCTTAATCGATCCGGACCAAACTTGGCACACATACACTATGGGCCCCGGCGGGTGTCACAGTCCACTTTTCGTTATCGATAGATGTCGATTTTATCGATTTTTTGCAAAATTTGAGCTACGGGGCTGGAATTTAGCAGAGGGGTGTAATTGAGCATGCTGATCACCCCCACGGGGGTGATCAGCATGCTCGATTACCCCCTGTGCCAACTCCCAGCCCCGTAGTTCAAATTTTGCAAAAAATCGATAAAATCTATATCGATCGATGACGAAAATTGGCCTATGACACCCGCCGGGGCCCATAGTGTATGTGTGCCAAGTTTGGTCCGGATCGGTTCATAAATGGAATTTTCTATTCGGAACATACGTACAGACAAGACAGACAGACATACAGACAGACAAACAGACATTCAGCTTTATATATAAGATGATAAAGATCTAGTCAGAAATGTTATGTTGGTAAGGAAAGAAACTAAAGGTAGAGCAATCAAGTTACGAGAGTAATTAATTCGTCATGCTGACAGACTAATCCGCTGGCGTAGCCCTCCTTGTCCTACATTCGGTTCACTTCTCTCGGGTCACGAATTTCATAATCGCGTTGCAGAGTAGTCAACGTTTGTTATCTGTCTGCATGTGCGCAAGAGAACCGAAGTGTGTAATCTGATCATACCGGGCCATCAGAATGCCGCTGGATTATATCGAGATGCTTCACTATTTCTTCTCTTCTTTTGTCTTTCTTGTAAAACTGAAGTTTTTCGTTCAATCGTTGTTTTACCAAAAGTGCACTGTTGAAAGAATACACAGACATTAAACAGCATCACTTACCGCAGCACATCTGTCAACAGCTCTGAGAAGCTGTCTGTCCCTCTTCACCCATTCCTTGCAGTATTTTATTTTCGACTCAGTCTCCGTGTTAATGCTTAAGAAGGGAATTACTATTTGAGAATAGATTTAGGTGTGGCGGATAGGGCCACCAGCTTCGGACGTCAGTGGGTAGAGCTCTCTTGCTTCGTCGTGCTCTAGCTGGCAGTCCATCCGTGAAGAATTCAACGATACGTGCGGATCGTAACAAAGCTTGCGGAGAGTACGTGCCACAATGCAAGTGCCATGCACAGTCAGAGGCCCTATGCTACCAATCTACCTGGCACCTTCTGTATAACCTGCGGTATCGGACTTGCATCATATCGAAACCTGTGACTCATCATAATCTGAGGCATTAGCGAGCATCGTGCCCGTGCTGTTACCGATCTAACCTTGATTATTGGTACATGTATCGTGAAATAGTGCCCTGTCGAGCCGTGGCTCACCGCCTCCATCGTGCCCACGACTTATTTCTATGCTAAAACTCCAAAGCTCATACACGAGGGTTGCGTACAAGCAAGGACGATCTTACTAGGTGCCAGCGAATCGGGAACTCTTAAAGCTGCATCACCAACTTGTCGCGGGTGTACGCAAGGTTATCTCGAGTGCTGTCAAGCCAATCCTCCACGCGGGACTTCTTGGCCATCACATAGGTTGAAGAAGCACTGCTTAATTGATGCAGTTGCTGGACGTTGAGAACCTAACGCTTGCTGAAAGACATGCGTGACGAAAGTGACTTTTGTGCTGGACTGGCGGACCTATAGGCGGTTGCGAGGGGTGGAGTGCAAGGGCTGACTTATAACCTTTCGCTAGGCGGCGACAATTTTTTAAAGTCGCCCAAACTGCGGCATTGGATATGAAAACAAATTTCTTAGAATGAATAATCTTTGATGACATATTATTAGCAGAGCACTGGCATCAAAATAAGTGTTGTGTCTTGTTCCAAGATAAGATGTAAAGCTTCAGGTAGAGTTCATGCGATTCGATCGTTGCGATTCATCGCTACAAGACAAGTGTTACCAGTTCATTGCATGCCGATCTTCTTGCATTTCGGTTGTGATAGCCAACACGACTAATCGTGACCAACTATCACAACCGAAATACAAGAAGATTGGCATGCAATGAGCTCGTAACACTTATCTTGTAGCGACTGAATCGCGACGATCAAATCGCGTGAACTCTGCCCAAGGCCTAAAGGGCCGAGCATACTTCACCCGATCCCAGTCACATCGCGATTTGGCAATTCGCCAAAAGTCTTCAGATCCAACACTAACAAACTGCACATGCACAGTATGCTTACGCGGATTGATGAAATGCTTATCTTCTGTACATTTGAAATGTGCTTACAGTGAGTTATGGACAGTTGGAATGTTGCTAAATCGGTCGCGACTGAAATCGCGTGAAGTATGCCCGACCCTCAAAGGCAGTGGCTCGGCAAATCTCAACCTAGTCAAATTCGCCCTTACTTGGGGTTCAACTCAGACTCAGATAATCGCCGGGGGCAGGCGGTCCGCAAACTCGCGCTTTTCTGCAGGCGGTCAGCAGGATTTCGGGGCGTGGCCAAATCTTCAGCGGGCGGTATTTGCGTTTTCTGCAAGCGGGCATCAATACAAAATTTTCTGCAAGCGCTCGTCAAACAATCTCTTTCAGCGAGCGCTGGCCAAACTTTCAGCAGGCGCTCAGACTCTTTTTACGCAGTTTCGGGCGTACGCCGAGAAAAGATGAGACTCTATGTGGCAGAGGTGCCATCGATGGTTTTATTACCCAAGTTTGGGGTACTTTCTTTCAGCGGAAAGTACCTGAGGGTTGTGCGGTCCTTCAAAAAGGACCGTGCGGCCCGCAATAATTTTGCATGTTCTCGCGGAAAATCCGCGAGAATGCGGCCACTGTGCGGCAACCTATGTATAGAAAAACCGCGATAGATCTTCGAGCGTTCGTCTAAAAATTGGCCAAAATTATTCCAAATTTCTGCAAGCGGACCACAAAAAATCAGCGAACTATTTTTCCGGTGCCCGCTTGCTCAAAATTCGCATGGCCGCTTGCCCCCGGCGATTATCTGAGGATAACCGCCGGGGCAGGCGGTCCGCAAACTCGCGCTTTTCTGCAGGCGGTCAGCAGGATTTCGGGGCGTGGCCAAATCTTCAGCGGGCGGTATTTGCGTTTTCTGCAAGCGGGCATCAATACAAAATTTTCTGCAAGCGCTCGTCAAACAATCTCTTTCAGCGAGCGCTGGCCAAACTTTCAGCAGGCGCTCAGACTCTTTTTACGCAGTTTCGGGCGTACGCCGAGAAAAGATGAGACTCTATGTGGCAGAGGTGCCATCGATGGTTTTATTACCCAAGTTTGGGGTACTTTCTTTCAGCGGAAAGTACCTGAGGGTTGTGCGGTCCTTCAAAAAGGACCGTGCGGCTCCCAATAATTTTGCATGTTCTCGCGGAAAATCCGCGAGAATGCGGCCACTGTGCCGCAACCTACGTATAGAAAAACCGCGATAGATCTTCGAGCGTTCGTCTAAAAATTGGCCAAAATTATTCCAAATTTCTGCAAGCGGAACACAAAAAATCAGCGAACTATTTTTCCGGTGCCCGCTTGCTCAAAATTCGCATGGCCGCTTGCCCCCGGCGATTATCTGAGAATACGCTGATCCCGAAAATCAACTTTTGAAAGCTTGAAAACGACGAAAGTAAACGTTTTTTGCCCTTCCCTTTGGAATTGGACGAGTGGAGCAAGGCCGATGACGCTAAGTCGTTGCAGGACCCAATGGTTATAGCGTTGCGGCGGGCAGCTTCCAATGGTGAGAAGGAAATTGCTAACTCGTCCAGATGCGTGTAAGATTGGCCTGCGCGTGTAAGTTTGAGAGCCATTTTCTCGGCAGGGAAAGCATGCTGTGCAACCGGGATTGCACTGTCTTCCTACTTGGGCAATAAGGAGTCTACCGCGTTAAAATTTTGAGCTGTTGAGTTTTGCCGATCCACTGCCTTTAATGCGGATGATAGCAGTTGGAATCATACGTGGTTTTCCCTTTTCGACAGTGAAACGCCTTTTAATTGAATCTACGGCTCAAACACACGGGACTTGAAGCCGATTATGGATAGAATGTCGATTATGTCCTGATTTTGTGTGAAAGAACAGGGGCGGTATGCCTCAATCTCCTGTTTTGGAAGCGGGCGATTATTTTCAATAGAAAATTGGTTGCCCGGCCGGGTGGCCGCAGCTTCATACATTACGGTCGGGCGGTCAACCCGGCCGGGCAATCATTTTTCTATTGGAAAGGATCGCCCGCTTTAAAAACGGGAGATTGATGCATACCGCCCAGAAAGGCGGACGTTCATGTTGGACTGAGGGGGGGGGGGGGAGGAACTAAACAAGTTTGAACATGTTCTTTCCTGTTTCCAAGTAGCAAATAATGTTAGAATATTAGATGACAATGTGTGCAGAAATATATGCGTTGTAACAATAAGTCAAACATATTTTTTGTCGACTTGATCTACTACGGATGAAATAGCTGAAAAATTAGCAAAACTCGAATATAACTTTCGTGTCATTGCCGTCTCACAATGTCCATCGAGAGGGAGAGGGGGACAAAAAGATTCGAATAAAGCTGCATGGTCATCCATGTACTCCTCAAAATTCGGGATGCTTCCCATAATTTGTCTGGGCTCATAATTTAAAATTTTAGATGAAGGAATGGGGTGGGGGCAGCCACGCCTTATCCTCCCTCCCCCAATTTTTTTACAGGGCTGACCTGAGGCCGTATTCATCATTGCTATCTTGAGGTAAAATGTACCTTGAGTTATTATTATCACTGAAACCCCGTATTCATCAATGTATCTTGAGGTAAATGCTCAAGGTTAAATCAACCTTGAAAATGATTTCATGTGGAATGGATAATACCTTGAGGTAAATTCTATCTCAAGGTAGCCTTGCGATAAATCCGTATTCATCAAACTTGATGCCTTTCTTGAGATACATTCACAACAGAAACTTTTACCCTAGCAAAAGGCAAGGTTAGGATTGATACCTTCAGAAATCTACAAAGTTTTAGAGGCTGATTTTTCACATGAGCATTGCAGTGGCAAAACTAAACCCATTGCAGCAATTTTGTCTAATTTCAGTGAGATTATTAGAGTTATAGACATGTAAAGAAATCAGTACTACACTTCTTTCTAATCCTATGGATAAATTCTGGGTGTTTTAAAGCTCCTGTATTAGGTTGTTGCATAAGTTCTGTCCGATTTGATTTTTTTTTGAGTTCAAAATGTCATAACTTCTTTCAAATCAACATTTTTCCAAGATCTTAATTTCCATGTGTTGAGCAATTCCTTAGCTATCAGATACATATTAGAACCTGCGAAAATCCTTGTTAAGGAAGAAGCAAAAACTTAAAAACTTCACTACGTTTTCCTTCAAACTTGTCTTTTTTGACATGGCAATGCTCCCTTATGAGAATTGGTAGGCATCTTATCTAACAATGGACAGGTAGAGAAATTTTCGCAGATTAATTTGCAACATGAAAGAGCCTATAGGGTCTGCGTTGCCGAGAGATTTTTTTTTGACCGAACAAAAAATTAGCCACTTTTCGACCTCGCTTCATGTGTGCATGCCTATTTATGAGTTATGAAAATTTTACAGTTCACGTGAGCGCCGAAAAGGAATTGGTGGATGGGCCTTGCTAACTCTTTCTTTACCCTAGCACCTCCAACTTTGAAGTCGTCGATTACTTCTATTCGCAGAAAGTTATAGCATGTAAAACATCTATACAGATAATTAATGTTTGACAATAAATTTTACTGGCAAGACGTTTTCTTCATGGAACCGAACTTCTGCATATGCTAGCCTTCTACACCCTTATTCCTCAGCCAATGAAAGAACTTGACTTGAAGGGCGCATTGTGGAGATTTTCTCGCAAGAACATATTTCTACGGTGAGAACGTACCTCGGCCACTTGGAGATTTTAGGCCTGAAATCTCCTTACACTAAGAAATTATTGAAATTTGATATGCTTTAGAAAGCGCAAGAAAAGCACTTTTTAATGATTCTAACAATATCGCATTGGAGATGAAATTCTGTTAGAAGAGCTGCTTCAAACATGAGGCAAAAAAATCGGACAGAACTTATGCAACAACCTAATAAAACTGATGTACCGAACCAAAGAAAGTCAAACACATATTTACTTGCTCCAACAGCATTTTGAGCATCATAGATCCTACCAAACAGTGTTTTGAGCATAGCACACTGAAACCACAAGGTCAAAACTGTATGACCCAAAAATAATCGCTTTGAGCCAGTGTTGACGTGTAACGCAATTCTTTAGTCTTGTTTAGTTGCTCAACTCAAATCCAACTGAAATTATATCACTCGGGGACATGTAGGGCAGCACTTCAACAGATTATGAGGCTCGACTCCAAGAGTCCGAAAAAAGAGATAGAAAGTTTACTAGCAAAATAATTATAATCTTTTGCTCTTTATTTACTTTGTTCATCCATTCAACTTCGACTCACACGTTGCCTCTGATGTAGAGTTTGTAATGTAAGCATCGGACTTCACAAAGCGTTTCATCACAAGCATTTCAAAATTTTGAATGTCTTGATAAACTCATATTTCTATGATTTGGACGCGAGTCCTCCTTACACACTCAGAAGGGCTTGAAAAAAAAACTGTCATCGTCTAAGGATTGTTTCATGCAGCAGTCGGTTGGCTGTCGCTGCTACAGACCATTGGCTGCAGCGAATGCAGTATGAAACAGTTCTAAGCTCATCAATAAATTAGACAAATCCCCGGTTATGACTGTCTGGGAAATCACTTTTATGAAGCATGTCAATGTGGAGAATGTTCGATGCCGAACAATCACAACATTCTTCAGGCAGGTAGGCATTGCAGCAGAGAACTTTTTTTCCATTTCAAGTAAATTGTACTTAGAAGCAGATAATTTCCCGGATAGACTTTTCAATCCTAGAATTGCTGGATATGTAGACCCTATCCTCTCCAATTCACCAACTGTAGCTTTTCGCACTCTAAAGACATAAGTATCCTTGCATATCCCATGCAGATATGAAAAAAGCAATTCACCGCGAGTACGCCATGCCCTTCTCTGAGAAGTCTGTGTTTATCATGCTAACACAGGTTGATACGAAATTATACCTTGAGGTAAATTCTACCTTGAGGTAGCTCTCAAGGTAGCTTATATTGCAGTAGGGTTCATTCTAATCTCAACATTGCAGCCGAAGCAGCTAGAAAAGTAGGTGTTATAAACTCATACATTTTTCATATCTCAGACTCTGAACGCAAGAGCCGCGGAAAATCATGGAGTGGATGTGCCAACATTGCTCAGCCGCTATAGTGCAGCCCACCCGCGGCTTTTGGGTGCAATTGCACTAAAATACACTCGAGCCGCAATCCTCTATAGGGCGGCTGATCCCGGATCATAAGTTTACCATATTTTTCCTTCCCCTCTCAGCTCACAATTTGTAAATCGCAGTAATAATTAAGGGTCACAGCTCGTCCGCTTTCAGCGTCTGAGCTGGCACGTTTGTGCCATTACAACAATCGTTTGTTTTCAATTTGGTATAGCTGATTTTGGTAGATAATCAGCAGAATTTTGCTTTCACTGAAGGAGAAAGAACATGGCGTCCACGTAGCTTCGTACTCAGTTTGTAACAATTCCCTCTATGTTTCTCCAGATGTTTTCTTACTCTTATTCATACTTCTCTTTTAGCTAAGATACAGCTCTACCACGTCAGAGCACCATCTAAGAATCCGGTATATTGTTTCGATAAAACTTCCCAGCAGGGATTACGAGATTGGAGTGTTACTGGAATCACATTTGCGATCAGCAAACTGGAAAACCTTTCAACAAATTTTTAAGTAACTTTGAAATTTTGACCCATCTCAGGTTTCGAAAATTTGAACTGTATGAAACTGACATTCTTTTCGTGGCATACCATTAACCCCTGGGGCAGTACGTCGTCTATTCTGTGATTTTACCGTACAGTAGACCAGTGGCCCATTGGAGGGGAGGGAATAGTCTGAAAAATTTTTTGAGTTACTTATCTGAGTTGTGAGAATATGCAAGTGAGTTGCGTTCGTAAGTAATTCCAGTATTTTTGAATTTTTTTTGGTACATTTCAAGTTAACGTGAAAAGAAAGTTTCGGCGGAAAGACCGCAATGAGACAGCAAAAACTTCTCGGAAACATTCCAAATATTTTTCGGAGTGCATGGCTAACCCCACTTACAGTGAACCAACAAGTACTTTTTCTCTCCACCTCCGTCGGACAAAGTGTTGCGATCGCCACTACTGTAGACCTACCACAACCCCATCTGGAGTTATGGTCAAAACTGGATGTGATATTTATATTCAACATGGCGAATAATTCAAAATCTGCCTGTGACCAGCGTAAACAGGCCTATAATGTGAATCTACTACATATTCCTGAAGTCATTACAAATCTATCATAGATTACATGTTAGAAAACAAAGTTTCAGCTTCAGATGAATGATATCAAAAGAGAAACCCTTGAACGTCTAATGGCGTTGCGTCCACAAGACATTCTCGAAGTAGGATTGACCCCCTGCAGACTTTAGACCGCCTTAGGGACCGGTTTCGTCTATCTCGCAGGGGGTTCTACACCATTTTCTCGGAATTACAAGAAGATCTATCCCCAAGGACTAAAGAACAGCGTCAATAAGCGCATCACATACGCTCGCAATTTTTTAGAACACCTTGGTATTTCGAGTTTATAGGTTTGAAATATAAGATAATAAATATATAATAAAATAATAATAATAATAATAATAAATACGGAAATACCCACGTGAACGATAGAAAAGAGGGATTCACAATAATGAACTTTACACACCGCTGAGAGTCATGGCATGCTCTGAATGAGCGTCACCGCACATCATGCAAGCTGAGGTAGAATTAACCTTGAGGTATTTTGATGAATAAGAAACAGCCTTAAAGGCACCGTCCACCCAAAATCTCGAATTCAATGTTTTTGTCGCCTTCAGGCCTTCTGAAAGCCCTGATTCCGAATATGGAGTCGAAAAAAAATCCCCGTTTCGAGAACCCTCCGCAACAAGCGCAGGCGAGATAAAACATGCAAGTGGGTGGGGCGACATTAGTCGCCCCGCCTACTTTGCTACTTCCGGAGCGGATTTTTCGCTCCAGAAGCAGTCTTTTGCGGCGAAGCTTGAGGGTTTGCCCAGTGGGAGGCCCACACTAGTATGCCATCATAATCCCGCCAACCTTCATTTTGGGTGGACGGTGTCTTTAAGGTACAGTGCTTGAGGTAGAAATTATTTCAAGGTTAATTTTACCTCAGGTAGCAATGATGAATACGGCCTCTGATTTCCAAAATAATTTCAAAGCATTTGATAGGTATTCGTATTTAGGTATTTGATTATTCACAATTATAAACAAATTGCTTGCACATTTTTATTACTCTTTTGATTACTCCCCCCCCCCCCCCCCCCTCATTGTCCCTCAGTCCGCCATTGCCTTATACGTACCGACGAAGCTATTATAACAAGTTGAACTCTTTGGTTTTACTAGTGACTGCGATTTGGAAAAATGATTACTTCGTTCCTTGCAGACGGCCGGTCTTTTCGCAGCTTTCTTGCTTCAATCGTTCAAACATTGTGGTCAAGGTTGGCGTCCAGATCTGAGTCCAGAATAAAGAGGAAAATTCAGATTAGGATGAACGCGAGCCATACCGAATCAGGCAGCCGGTTTCGAGTAGGATATTAAAAATATGAAACATACAAGCTATTCATAAATGTTGTTTCACAGATGCATTGTTTATCTCGTAGTCGTATAATCATCCCGTCTGCATCGTGTTGGTTGCTAACTTGAAGCATTTAGCTCATAAATGCGCATTTGTAATGCAGCTAATAACGTGACAAGGAGAAACCACAGATGTATAAGTGATTCATGTAAGAACAGACTGAACGCCTGTCCGCCCAACAAGATAAGATAGTTGTAGTTTGTATACAAGGCTGCCGCAAAAGATCTGTCCGATTTTTTGCCTTATTTTCGAAGCAGCTGTTCTGAGTGAGTTTCACCTCTAATGCTATACTATTTGCATCATTAGAAAGGGCTTTTTTCCTCTTTCCAACGCATATCAAATTTCGGTAAATTCTCCGATTTAACGAGATTGTAGGCCTAAGATCTCTAATGGTCGAGATACTTTAAACTTTCTCACCCAAAATGTATGTTCTTGCGAGAAAATCTCTACAGTGCGCCGTTCAAGCCAAGTCCTTTTATCGGTTGCCGAATAAAGGTGTAACAAGCTAGCATATGTAAACGTTAGTTTTCTGAAGAAAACGTCTTTTTAGAATCTGTTCTCGAACATTGCTTTTTTGAAATGATGTTCTACAAGCAATAATTTCCTGCGAATAAAGGCATTCGATGAGTTCAAACTTGAAGGTGCTAGAGTAAGGCAAGAGCAAGTAGGACCCATCCACTCGTTTTCACTTCTCGTGTCAAGTGGCAAGCCCCAAATATGAAGCAGCGCGGTCGATACTACGAGCAAGTCCCCGGAGGTGACTTTTCGAGGAGGGGCGTGTAAGGAAGAAGGACCGTTTTGATCTAATAGGTGATCTGATATTGTGATCTGCGCGCGCCAAAGCGCTTGTTGATTGTTTTTCGTTCGTTATTGTTGCCGATTATTGACGACGAGGAGCGGCGCTGGCCGCATTGTTTTATTTTTATTTCTGTTCCTGTTCTTTGTGAGTCTTTTCTTGTACTGCCCACAAGGCAGGCTTCTGCTTTTCCAGTGTTCTTTTTTTTCCGTTAGTAAAGTTTTCGTTATTCTTCTGTAGCAAATCCTTTCACCCACGTGGCCCGCCACCCAAATTCTATTTTTACATGGGGGCCGAACAAATTTGAACACGGGAAACAATTTTTTTTTGCAAAACTTCTTGTCGGGGGAAATTTTGCATCGTTGTGGCGTGGACTACTGGGCCAATTATTGTGCTGGTCGATCCACAGGTCATCTGTGGAAGACCATTGAGCACATACGGGTACAAGAGCCTCTGGTCGAGGTGGTACCTGGAAATCACCGTGAGGCAGTGGCGTACCGAGGGGGGTGGGGGGCGGGGGGGGGGGGCGCGCGCCCCCCCCCCCCGAGAATGGGTCGCGAAATTTTTAAAAGTTACTTATAAGGGTTATAAAAATGTGCAAATGACTTGTTTATACTTGTAAATAATTAAAATATTTTTTAAAATTTTTTAAAAATTCAAATTAGCTTTATAAAAAAAATTTTTTCGGGGGCGTGGCTGACGCCACGCCCCCTTTTTCTGGATTTTCGGGGTTATGAGGCCGCGAAAATTTTTGAAACCACCCCCAAAATTTTTTCGGAGTGCGTGGCTAACGCCACGCACCTTCATTAGAAAAAATTTTTTGTCGCGCCCCCCCCCCCCCCCCCCGAGCCGAAATCCTGGGTACGCCACTGCCGTGAGGTGAGGTGCCGGTTGGATCCACAGTTGTCTGTGGAACCCGTAAGGCACACTCAGGTACGAAAACCTCTGGACGAGGGGGTACCTACACACCACCGTGGGTGGGAAGGACTTGCTAGAAGCAAGAACCTTCATTGAGTGAAGCAGGAAGCTGCCGTGAAGCCCTGCTCGATCGACTGATAACGGAAAAGGCTGATTCTTTTCTGTTTCAGAGCATGGCGGAATCCATGGATGAAGAAATGGAGGCCATGATCCTCATGGACGAGGAGGGCAAGCGCATTGAAGATCTTCAAGCGCAAATTGCCGGATTGACGCAGCAAGTGCGTCAACTAGTGGAAAAGCAGTCTCAGGTATGCGTTGTACCTGTCAAAATGGGAGAATACTTAGCAGAAATTCGCAGCCTTGTGAATAAGGGTAAGCGAAAAGGCGAAGCTAGGAAAAGCCCTAGAAGCACTAGCGCCGACTGTCTGCAAATAGATAACGCCTGTGAGGGACTGCAAGTAGAAATTGGAAAAATTGAGCAGCTGTTTGAAGAAATAAATAAGCTCAAAAATGTGGCCGCGGATCAACTAGAAAAAGACTTACAAGGGAATGGTCAGAAGTCGAAGTGGCCAATCCATACAAACTGCATACCGTTCGATGCAGCATAAAATGCTGATTTCAAATCTGTCTTCCATATCTGCAGAGCGCCTTTGTAGGCGAAGTTATGAGCAGCCTTACTGCGGAAAAACCGTATACAAAAATTGCGAAATTAGGCACATTATTGCTCTTTCAGCTCACCTCTAGGTACGAGTCACGTGAAGTGACCTAGTTGTATGTTTTGGTCCAACATCGAGCCGAGAATGGCTTTGTACGGACAAGTTTGCACTTTACACGCACAATTTCTTAGCAAAATAATGGCCTTCAACGGCTTATGATTTCGTCCACAAAAGCGCTCTGCAGATAAGGATGACAGATTTAGAGTCAGCGTTCCATGGTGCATCTAATGGTATGCAGCTTGTATGGATTGACCACTTCGAATTCTGACCATTCCCTTGTTAGTTGAAATCAGGGTCAAGCGTGTTGATGCGATCCTGGACCCTCATTTACGACCCCCCCCTTAAAGGTACCCATCCGTACGACCCCCCCCCCCCCCCTCCCCCTCTTCCCATCTATCCCCCTTACCTCCCCTGCCCACATTTCTCGCGATAACCTGCATAAACGAGTGTCAATATCAAAAAACACCTGCGTGAGAACTTCAGTAAGGTTTCAGAAGCAAAATGTCTGGACCAATGGGTGCGCTCAGCATCTGCAGCACACAGACACACCTTCAGTAATGTTCGAGATTCTGCAAGTTTTTTTTCTGAATTTTCAGGCATACTTCAGGCCAGCAAATTCGATTCCCGTATGCGACACAAATTTTTTCACGGAGAACAAAATGACATTCTTGATCTACGAAAGATGTTTTCGACTAAGAAGCTCAGTTTCTACCTCTTCCACAGTTTTTCCTGCGAAAAAAACCGCTTCGGCGCCGTCCAGAACGACGTCAAAAACGTGCATGAGCACGGTAGTTTGAAAATTCGTAACTAAGGCCAGGAAAAGATCGAGAGGCTGCAAAGATTAGGTTCTGTAGCATGGTGCCCAGACTATTCATAGAGAAAGTTTCAGCCCTTGAGGAGCAGTGAGCTCGAAAAAATTTAGATGCGACTCTCGCAAATTTAGATGCGATCCTAGAAAGCAAAAACTGGGATTTTTAAGCTTAAAATTTTGTAACTTACCAGAGAAGTCATAAAACAGCCTGAAATTTTTATGAGGGAAAGTAGGAGGATGGCCTCATATTACAGCAAAATTGCAGCCAACAAGCTTCGATAGCCCCGAAAAAATTTAGATGCGACCCAGATACGACCCCCCTTTCCTGAATTTTTGCTACCATACATAAAATCATAAGAAAGTCCACAGTTTACAGAATAAGACCAGATTTCGCACAGTGATAACAGGGCTCATCTAAAGTACATATAAATTATAAGGACCATATAATTAGCATTACAAAAAGATTTTCGAATTATTGATTGTCATTGTTGATCTAGATGTGCGCTTTTGTCGAGTGTGTGAGACTTCGGTGAGGTTCCGGAAGCAGAATTTCTAGGCCAGTGGGTGCGCCCAACATCTCTAGCGCACATACGCACCTTCAGTAATGTTCGAGATTCTGCAAGTTTTTTTTCTGAATTTTCAGGCATACTTCAGGCCAGCAAATTCGATTCCCGTATGCGACACAAATTTTTACACGGAGAACAAAATGACATTCTTGATCTACGAAAGATGTTTTCGACTAAGAAGCTCAGTTTCTACCTCTTCCACAGTTTTTCCTGCGAAAAAAACCGCTTCGGCGCCGTCCAGAACGACGTCAAAAACGTGCATGAGCACGGTAGTTTGAAAATTCGTAACTAAGGCCAGGAAAAGATCGAGAGGCTGCAAAGAACAGGTTCTGTAGCATAGTGCCCAGACTATTCATAGAGAAAGTTTCAGCCCTTGAGGGGCAGTGAGCTCGAAAAAATTTAGATGCGACTCTCGCAAATTTAGATGCGATCCTAGAAAGCAAAAACTGGGATTTTTAAGCTTAAAATTTTGTAACTTACCAGAGAAGTCATAAAACAGCCTGAAATTTTTATGAGGGAAAGTAGGAGGATGGCCTCATATTACAGCAAAATTGCAGCCAACAAGCTTCGATAGCCCCGAAAAAATTTAGATGCGACCCAGATACGACCCCCCTTTCCTGAATTTTTGCTACCATACATAAAATCATAAGAAAGTCCACAGTTTACAGAATAAGACCAGATTTCGCACAGTGATAACAGGGCTCATCTAAAGTACATATAAATTATAAGGACCATATAATTAGCATTACAAAAAGATTTTCGAATTATTGATTGTCATTGTTGATCTAGATGTGCGCTTTTGTCGAGTGTGTGAGACTTCGGTGAGGTTCCGGAAGCAGAATTTCTAGGCCAGTGGGTGCGCCCAACATCTCTAGCGCACATACGCACCTTCAGTAATGTTCGAGATTCTGCAAGTTTTTTTTCTGAATTTTCAGGCATACTTCAGGCCAGCAAATTCGATTCCCGTATGCGACACAAATTTTTACACGGAGAACAAAATGATATTCTTGATCTACGAAAGATGTTTTCGACTAAGAAGCTCAGTTTCTACCTCTTCCACAGTTTTTCC